GTATGTGCAGATTAAGCCCATTACTTCTTGTCCTGCCTGCAGTGGACATGGAGAACAATTGATCACCATCCTCTTTATAACAACCTTTAACATATTTTAAGACTGTTATCAGGGCCCTCCTCAGTTTTCTTTTCTCACAACTAAACATGTCCAGTTTAGGTCACATTTTCTAAACCTTTTATCATTTTTCTTGCTTTCCTCTAGACTCTCTCCAATTTATCCACATCTTTCCTAAAGTGTGGCACCCAGAACTGGACACAGTACTCTAGCTGGAGGCTTCCCCGGTGCCGAGTGGGAAAATTACCTCCTGTGTCTTACATACGACATTCATGTTAATACAGCCCAGCATATTAGCCTTTTGCGCAACTGCATCACATGGTTGACTCATGTTCCATTTGTGATCCACTATAATCTCCAGGGCCTTTTCAGCAGTATTGCCATCTAGCTAGATATTCCCCATTTCGCAGTTGTGCATTTGACTTTCCCTTCTTAATGAAGCACTTTGCCTTGTTTTTATTGAATTTAATTTAGCTGATTTCAAACCAATTCTCTAATTTGTCTAGGTCATTTTGAATTCTAATCTGTCTTTTGAAGTGATTGCCACCCCTCTCAGTTTGGTGTCCTCCTCAAATTTTATACGCATAAAGTTATTTAAAAGGTCTTGGCATTTAAAATATTAAAATGTATAGTCTGCAAAGTGTTGTGTCCCCTTGAACAAAGTGTAGGCTGTTGATCCAGATTTTAAATGTTCATATACAAGTACTATGCTGCCCATTAATTTAGAAGAAAATCTTAAGAAATGGCTTAACTTGCACACTGAAGCCCTGATTTTGTGCCCATTGACTTCAAAGGTGAAGTATCAGGCCCTGAATTAGAGGGCGCATATGGTAAGATTAAGCCCAGACCAGAACACTGGCTCCAAATCTTTCACCTCACAAAGTCTGGGAAAGTTTAGACCTAGATCTGGTCAGGAACATTGTGCCTCTGACCTGATCCTGTAATGTGGCATATATGGTACATGAGATACATTGCCCTGAACACCTGCTCCAATCTTTGCCACTTAAGATCAGTTGAAGCATGCAGGGACATAGATCAGCACCTCCATGAATAAGTGGTCAATCAGGTCTTTATCAACACCTGGAGTGAATTGTGATGGCGGTGATAGGAATTCCAGATTGGAATTGGACATTCAGGGCTAAGTTTTCAAAGGGCCTCTACCTTTGCACAGGCAGTCTGACACACATCAGCACTTATGTATATTCTTGATCTGTGTGCAGATAGCTAGAATAAGGCCTATGCACCACTTAAAACTCATTGGCACCTTAAATGGTGCCCACTTCTTGCACCAACTCTCTGCCCAGGATGGAATGATGAAATATACACATCTAAGCAGGATTTGTGTGTACAGCTTGGTTAGATATCTGTCCACTTTGTGTACACAGATCATCACTACTCATGCAAATTCTCAGTTGCATGCTCAGGGTTGTTGGTAGTGGTTTTTTGTTTGTTTGTTTTGGGGGGGTTGGAAAGGACCAGTAGTCTTCCAGTCCCTTGAAATTTCCCCCATTTTCCATGATTGGCTAAAAAAAATAACATTGGCATTCACAGTGCACCTGAGCTAGTTCCCTTAAGACTCATTAGGTATAAATTATCCAGGGCTGTTGATTTGAAAATGTCTAGTTTTAGCAGAAGCTGCCCTACATCCTCCTTTGTTATAGATGATAATCCTTCTGCTGCATCCACATCATCATATGGGATGAATACATCCCCCTACTTCATTCCAAATATAGAACAGAAACATCTATTGAACATTTCTGCCGTTTCTACATCACTATTTACAGTTTTACGCTCTGCAGCTAACAATGAACCTATATCTGACCTAGGTCTCTGTTGGTTTGTTCCTAATATATATATTTTTAAATGCCTTACTGTCTTTCAGCCTATAGGCCATTGATATTTCATAGCTTTCTTTATTTTCCCTTATCAGTCACCTATATTTTTTAACTTGCAACTTATATTCATTGCCATTTACTTCCCCTCTACCCATTTATATTCATTTTAAATTTTTGATCACTGCTTCCACATCTTATTTTAACCTGGATGGTCCAGCATACCCTTTCTTTGTGCCTGCGGAATCGTGGCTTTTGGGGCATCCCATAGGATAATCTATGTAGAATTAAAGATATAGCACTAAGCCATTGTCATTTAGGCTTTAAGGACATGCCTTGCCTTGTTTTTCTTCTTCTTCCTTTGCAAAACATACTAAGCAAGTAATTTCTTAGGGCCAGATTTTCAGAAGTGCTGAGCAGCCCCAATTCCAGGTTAAGTCCCTGGGAGCTGGAGGTGCTCAGCACCTCTGAAAAACAAGCCCGCGTCTTTTATTTATTTATTTATTTATTTATTTTGGTAATAAACTGACTACAGGAAAAATATTGTGGAAACTTTAGAGCACCTGAGCCACAGGAATTTTCCTGTATGTTTGGATCACGATCATGTTGCATTAAGAAACAAGAACATTGCACAGGACGAACACAGCCTAAAGCCATGATGTTTTGGATCAGTGTGTTGTTTTAACAGTCTACGTTACAAACATGAGGAACGGTAAAGAGTCTGCATGAGAGAAGCGAAGAACTAAAAGTACTTTCTGTCTGGCGAAAAGTGTACATTCAAAATAATATGTCTGTTTACCGACAAGCACACTGCAGAGTCTGTTACAATACCAATCCAGAAGGAAAACCAGAGATATTTGAGTGGGAAATGAGTTTTATTCTTAGACAAGAGGCCCTGCACAAGGCTTGTGACCTAATGAAGTCCCACTCAAGAGAGGAAATCCTGACCTCATTGAAGTCAATGGTATTTTTGCCATTGACTTCACTGGATTTCACATCAAGGGCTTAAGTGGGACTTAAATGGTGCATAGACGTGACCTAGGGCCCTCTTGTTGCCAACTGGCAGAAGACACAGGATGCATATGGATTACAGAAATCCTCTGGGTCTGGTATCTATATTCTAGTTTACCAAAGCACATCATTTAACGTCTCTACTGAAAGCCGGTGTCGCAGTGGTCATCATAATCATTGCGCTATGTATGTATGGATAATATATAATGTGACAGGGTCGGGCCAGATGGCTACAGGAGAGTAATAGAAGGCAGATATATTAGCCCCAGGCTAAGTAGGTCCCTTTTCCCTGGGTAAAGTAACAGGGAAGGTTCCAGAACAATCAGGAACCTTCTGGAGACAATTAAGACAGGCTGATTAGAACACCTGCAGCCAATCAAGAAGCTGCTAGAATCAATTAAGGCAGGCTAATCAGGGCACCTGGGTTTTAAAAAGGAGCTCACTTCAGTTTGTGGTGTGCGTGTGAGGAGCTTGGAGCAAGAGGCACTAGGAGCTGAGAGTGAGAACGCAGACTGTTGGAAGACTGAGGAGTACAAGCATTATCAGACACCAGGTGGAAGGTCCTATGGTGAGGATAAAGAAGGTGTTGGGAGGAGGCCATGGGGAAGTAGCCCAGGGAGTTGTAGCTGTCACACAGCTGTTCCAGGAGGCACTCTAGACAGCTGCATTCCACAGGGCCCTGGGCTGGAACCCGGAGTAGAGGGCGGGCCCGGGTTCCCCCCAAATCCTCCCAACTCCTGGTCAGACACAGGAGGAGTTGACCTGGACTGTGAATTCAGAAAAACGGCCAAGCTGAGGGCTGCCGTGAAGCTCCAAGATGAGCAAATCCACCAACAATTGCAAGACCCACCAAGGTAGAGCAGGAACTTTGTCACAATAAGGAATTATGTATATATAGTAAAAATGATGTTCTTAATGTCTGTGACTTGGGGCTGGTCACAAAAAGGTGAGAAGCAGGTTTCTTTCAGGCAAGAGATGTTTATCAGTCTGTCTCCATGTACATAGAGGATTGTATACTTCACAATGAACTCCTATTTAGTCTGAGCAAAATGCTACCCAAGTGATTGCAAAGTCTCCAGGGAAGGCTATTGACAGGAAAACCAAGCAGCAGGGCTGAAAGTGAAGACAATGGATTTTGGGGACTATAATTGTGGGTACTGAGATTCAATCTTCAGCTTTCATCTAGGAAGTAAGCTGAGTGTGGGCTTTCTTCATGAATGGACGATATCACAGCCAGGCCTGGCTGTAATATGCTAGAAAGATTTTGGGGGAGCTTTTGCTTTGTATGGCATGACAATATCTTGGTGGTTAAGTTTAGGCTCTACTATGCGTGTTATGATTTTGTTTTATATGTTACCCTTTGTTTTCAATATTTCTGCTTGCTATCACTTGAATCTCTGTTCTTTGTTAAATAAACTTATACTTGGTGTAACTGTGCTTTTGGGACCAGAGGATCTGGAAATCTCGGAGTCTCCAGTGATCAGGGACTGGGCATGCTAGGGAGACATTCGGAGGACTGGGGGGATGGGCTGCACCTCTGGCTGACCTGCACAGAGAGAACAAGACCTGAAGAGGCCTAGAGGATAATGCTTGTGTTGCCAGAGATCGGTGGAGTTGGGGACCTGACCCATAGCAGGCACAACCATGGCTCCCTCACACTCAGGGCAGGTGGTAGCAAAGTGCCTCACAATCCTGGGTATCCCCAGGAAGTATCCTGAGAAGGCTTGGACAGGTCCTGTGCCCAGGGGTGAGTAGAAGTACCTGAAATGATGGGGAACCCACTGGAAGAGACAGAGCCTTGCTCATTCAGGCAATGAGAGCATCTGGATTAGAACATGAAAATAAACAAAGAGACTAAAGTAAATAACTTGTACTGGAAGAATCATCCAGAATGAAATTAACATTAGTCACACATAAAAATCCACTTACTGCACCTCTCTTGTAATGAAATGGCAGAAAATGGCTTTGGTACATTTCATCACGGCAGCCATGTGAGGATGGGTATTAATCTACATCCTGCTAATGACTCATGCTCAACATTATTCTATACTTCAGTGAGAGTTGTGCACACAGAGCTGATGGTGTGATTTTACCTTTCAGATTTAATGAAGTAAAGAAACTTTAAAGAAAGTTAAGCTGTAAAATGTGAGAAGAAATAAAGCTTGAGATGCCCTCTGAAGGGAGCGACAGCTCAGGCTGAGAGCACAGCAACAATAGAAGCTACAAGGATCCCTCAAAAGCTATCGACACTCAGATTCTGATGAGTAATTTCTGATGGGCTATTAGATTGAAGAAAAAGTTGACTACTGGCATGCATGGATGGTGGAAACCTTGAAGACCTCACAGCTGATTCTCCAGTGAGTTAGTAATGATTCGAGACAAATGTGAAATGAAGGGGATGACACATTATGAAGTACTCGGAAGCTTTGAAAATCCAGATCCTCTATCCTCAGGTTTTATAAGGAAAAAAGATTAATGAAATTGTACTGAAGTTCTGTTGCATTAAATAAGGAGAATTCATTGAAGGGAAATAGACCATTGATAAATGAGTTTCTTGAGTGTTATCAGGCTGTATTTTCATTTGGAATATTTAGCTCATGAGTAGGGCTGGTACAGAAAGATAAAAGAACTATCCATTGTACCTGGCCAATTCCCTCAGTGGGAAACTGAATCACTATGTAAGTTTGATGAGGGCTTAATTTAAGCACAAAAATATGGGGAGAAGGGGGTGGGAGTGTTGTGAGGACCTACTGAAAGGCAATCAAGCAAAAAAGAAAAGCTATCCTACTAGAAAAGAGTTCTTGGGTTTTAGCATGGGGATTGTTACTAGAATGGAGAGAATGTAAGAATGGCATACTGGGTCAGATCAATGGTCCATCTAGCCCAGTGTCCTGTCTTTTGACAGTGGCTGGTACCAGATGCTTCAGAGGGAATGAACAGAACAGAGCAATTATCAAGTGATCCATTCTGAGTTGTCTTGTCCCAGCTTCTGGCAGTCAGAGATTTAGGGACATCCAGAGCATGGGGTTGCATCCTTGACCATCTTGGCTATTAGCCATTGATGGGCCTATCCTCCATGACCTTATCTAATTCTTTTTTAATCCAGTTACACTTTTGGCCTTCACAACATCCTCTGGCAACAAGTTCCACAGGTTGACTGCGTGTTGTATGAAGTACTTCCTTATGTTTGTTTTAAACTTGCTGCCTATTAATTTCATTGGGTGACTCCTGGTTCTTGCGTTATATGAAGGCGTAAATAACACTTCCTTATTCACTTTCTTCACACCATTCATGATTTTATAGATCTCTCTACCATATCACCTTCTTAGTAGCCGCTTTTCTAAACTGAACAGTCCCAGTCTATTTAATCTCTTCTCACACAGAAACTATTCCATATCCCTGATCATTTTTGTTGCCCTTCTCTGTACTTTTTTCAATTCTTATATTTTTTTTTTGAGATGCAGGAACAAGAACTGCACATAGCATTCAATATGTGGATGTACCATAGATTTATATAGTGGCATTATGGTATTTACTATTTTATCTATCCCTTTCCTAATGATTCCTAACATTGTTAGCTTTTTTGATTACCACTTCCCATTGAGCAGCTGTTTTCAGAGAACAATCCACAATGACCCAAAGATCTCTTTCCTGAGTGGTAACAGTTAATTTATACCCCATCATTTTGTATTTATAATTGGGATTATGTTTTCCAACATGTGTTACTTTCAGTGTTATCAACAGTAAAATTCATCGGCCATCTCGTCATCAAGTCCTGTGGGATCCCTTTGTAACTCTTCACAGTCAGCTTTGGACTTAACTATCTTGAAAAATTTTGTATTGTCTACAAACTTTGCCACCTCACTGTTTACCCCTTTTCCCGGATCATTTATGAATACATTGAATACCACTGGTACCAGTACAGATCCTATTTACCTTTCTCCACTGTGGAAACTGATCTTTTATTCCTACTCTTTGTTTTCTATCTTTTAAACAGTTACCGATCCATGAAAGGACCTTCCCTCTTATCCCATGACTGCTCACTTTGCTTGAGAACTTTTGGTTAGAGACCTTGTCAAAGGCTTTCTCAAAGTCCAAGTACATTATATCCACTCAATCTCCTTCTCCACGTTTGTTGACCCCCTCAAAGAATTCTAATAGATTGATGAGGTAACATTTCCCTTTACAAAACCCATGTTGACTTTTTCCCAACATAACATGTACATCTATGTGTCAGATAATTCTGTTCTTTACTATAGTTTTAACCAGTTTGCCTTGAACGGAAAGTAGGCTTATCAGTCTGCAATTGCCAGGATCACCTTTGGAGCCTTTTAAAAAAATTGGTGTTACATGAGCTGCCCTCCAGTCACCTGGTACAGAGTCTGTCTTCAGAGATAGGTTACATACCACAATTAGTAGTTCTGCAACTTCATATTTGAGTTCCTTCCGAACTCTTGGATAAATACTGTCAGGTCCTGGTGATTTATTATTGTCTAATTTGTCAATGTGTTCCAAAACCTGCTCTATTGACACCTCAATCTGGGACAGTCCCTCAGATCTGTTACCCAAAAAGAATGACTCAGGTGTGGGAATCTCCCTCACATCCTCTGCAATGAAGACCAATGCAAAGAATGCATTTAGCTTCTCCACAATGGCCTTGTCTTCCCTGGGTGCTCCTTTAGCACCTCAATCATCCAGTGGCCCCACTGATAGTTTGGCAAGCTTCCTGCTTCTCATGTACTTTTTTAAAAAAAAACTTTTGATGTTAGTTTGTGTAGCTCTTACTAGTTGCTCTTCAAATTCTTTTCTGACCTGCCTAATTATACTTGTGCATGTGACTTGCCAGAATTTATGTTCCTTTCTGTTTTCTTCAGTATGATCTGACTTTCAATTTTTTAAAGATGTCTTTTTGTCTCTAACCACCCCTTTTATTCTGTTTTTTCACCAGAGAGGCATTTGTTTGGTCCTCTTACTTTTTTTTTATTTAGGGTATACATATAGTTTGAGCCGCTATTATGGTGTTTTTAAAAAGTTTCCATGCAGTTTGCACACATTTAATCTTGTATCTGTTCCTTTTACTTTCTGTTTAACTAGCCTCCTCATTTTTGTGTGGTTTCCATTTCTGAAGTTAAATGCTACTGTGGTGGGTCTCTTTGGTATTTTCCTCCACTACAAGGATGTTAAATTTCATTATATTATGGTCACTATTACCGAGTGATTCAGCCACATTCACCTCTTGGACCAGATCCTGTGCTCCACTAAATCAAGAATTGCCTTTCCCCTTATGTATTCCAGGACAAGCTGCTCCAAGAAACAGTCATTTATGATGTCAAGAAACTTTATCTCTGTACCCCATCCTGAGGTGACATGTATTCAGCCAATATGGGGATAGTTGAAATTCCCCATTATTATTGGGTTTTCTCTTTTTGTAGCCTCTCTAATCTCCCTGAGTATTTCATAGTCACCATCACCATCCTGGTCAGATGGGCGGTAGTACATTCCTGCTGCTATACTCTTATTATTCAAGCATGGGGTTTCTATCCATAGAGATTCTGTGGTACTGTTTCATTCATTTAAGAGTTTTACTATATTTGATTCTATGCTTTCTTTCACATATAGTGCCACTCTCCCACCAGCACAACCTACTCTGCCATTCCTATATATTTTGTAATCTGGTATTACTGTGTTTCATTGCTTATCATCATTCCACCAAGTTTCTGTGATGCTTATGGTGTGAATATCCTCATTTAATACCAGGCAGTCAAGTTCACCCATTTTAGTATTTAAACTTCTTGCATTTATATATGAGCACTTATAAAATTTGTCAATATTTAGTTGTCTGCCTCCATGTGATGTAATTGAATGGGACTCTTTTTCATTTGACTGTTTCTCTTCAGCTCCTCCCTGCACTTTATCTACTTCTATCGTCTCCTCTTTACTAAGATATCAAGGATCCCCTTTAATAAATCCTCCCCTAAGGGATGTGTGTGTCTGAACCATGTGCTCTGCCCTACCTGTCCACTTTCCCCCAGCCCTTAATTTAAAATCTCCTCTATGACCTTTTTAATTTTACATGCCAGCAATCTGGTTCTGTTTTGGGCTAGGTGGAGCCCATCCTTCCAGATTAGGCTGCTCCTTTCCCAAAAGGTTCCCCAGTTCCTAATAAACCTAAATCCCTCCTCCCTACATCATTGTCTCATCCATGTGTTGAGACCCTGCAGTTCTGCCTGTCTCACTGCCCTGCACATAGAATGTTACTGTGGACTTCCTGGACTTCAATCTCTTACCTAGCAGCCCACATTTGGCCTCCAGGGCCACTCTCCTACTTTTCCCTATGTCACTGGTACCAGCGGCTCCTGCCCAGCACAGCACATAAGTCGGTCTAGATGTCTCAAGAGGTCCACAACTTTCACACCCGGCAGGCAATTTACCATGCGGTTCTCCCAGCCATCACAAACCCAGCTATCTATATTTCTAATAATGGAATCCCCGTCTCTTTCTAATAACAAGGGTCCCCTCTTGCGGACCTCAGTGCAAGAGAATACCATGACATCATGTGGTTCCCAACTGTGGGATCATTTCCCTCCACTCCAGTTTGATGTTCTCCTTCCCCTAGACTTTTATCCTCCTCAACAGCACAGAGGCTGTCAGAGCAGGGGTGGGATCAGAAAAGTCTCATCTATGTACGTCTCCCTCTCCCTTAGCTCCTCCAGTTCAGCCATTCTGGTCTCCAAAGCCTGTACTCAGGCTGTGACGGCCATGTGCTGCTTGCAATGAATGCACACGTACACCACCTGCCCACAAGACAGGTAATCACACATGTTTCGTACAGTGAAATAAACAGAATAGCCCTCACTCTGCTGCTGAACTTCTGCCTGCATTATTTTTACGTTTGCAGGGTTTTTTATATTTTTGTTGTTTGTGTGTATGTGTGTGGGGGGGAAGGGGGTGTTTGGGAGGTGTGGGGGGAAGGGAAGGTTACTGGCCTCAGTTTAGAGAATGTTTATTAGGTGTATCTAGCTCCCAAGCTCTCTCTAAACTCCCTGGCAAAACTCCATTGTTTGCTGCTCCTGTTTGCTGGATCCCAGTTGCTTACGAGCTGGCTTTTGAAACCCCTGTTCTACCTGAGCCCCACCCTACCTGAGGAATGAAAGGATGGCTGTCTTAGGTTAGAGCCTCATTAGAAAGCTCTTGGCCTTTCCTAGCAGGCTGCTAGGCTCAGCGCAGTCTCCCCAACAGACCACACTATAAACTTCAATCAAGAAACTTTTGTTCTACAGGACTCGATTTTCAGCAGTGCCAAGGCATAGGCAAAGGTGGCGCTTCATCTCTCCATCTTGGGCTTTGCCGAGCCCAAAACAGCCCCTGGGGTAAGTTATAATAGTCCTGCGCTACTCTAACATATGCTGCCTGAAGCTATCCCGCTGGCGTGGCGGCGTCCTCTCCTCTCCAGCACACTCCCCTGAATCCCCGCATATCTGGGGGTTGGAGGGAGAGTGAGTAGCATAAAGCCAGCTTTACACCACTGTGGGATTGCCCTATGAAGGGACTCCCCAGCTGTCCCTTTATGCTAGCTCTGAGCTGTTATGCACCATTGGACTTGGGCCTAGATCCACAGCGTAGGATGAGGAGCTGATCTTGCAAGGTGCTGCCTTGCCCAATAGGCAGGTGTAGCCAGGACTCTACATGAGGGAGCTGTTACTTAAACTGGAGCAATTAGTGAATGGGGAGGAAAAGGTGGTAAGTGACTTGCCATAGTTCTATTTACCATTCAAAGCCTGAATGTAGGAGCAGCTGAATTTTTGGAGACAGCATGAAAAAAAAGGGTGGGGGGAGTGGTACATAGTTTGAGCAGAAGCTTCCTCGAAGCAACAAATGGGAAAAGACAGGAAGCGGCACATGCCCCTAAGCAAACATTCCTAGTGGAGGGTCAATATTTTAACAAGGGAGTCCTCCAGGATTGCCCCTTTGCAGACTGCTATGCATGCAGTGGGCCAGGGGGTGCATGAGTCCATAGAGTAGGAGGGGGATGATTGGGGAAGCTACTCATTTGTTTTCCAGTTTTTAAAAAATACGCTCTCTCATAGCCAGCAAGGGAGCCAGCACCACTTGGCCCTCCCAGGTACGTACATGCCCCCTTTTTCTGGTGTAAGGAGGGCAGGTGTGCAAGAACGTATGTGTGTCTGGGTGCAGGTGCTTTGTGTGGGAGGCTGCATGGGTGGCCCTTGTACAAGGGTACAGTGGTATCCTCCCCTGGACATGTCTTTCTTTTTAAAACACCTGATATTGGTGCAATCTGGGCCATTCCAAAGAGGGTGCCTATCCTGAGTCTCACTTTGGCTGTTTTGCACCATCCCACCAGTGCCAAGCAGGCTTGAACTTGCTGGATCCAGCCCTGAGGGGATCTCCCCTGCATAAAGGAATCCTTTGGTGGCATTTACACTACACCAGTGAGGCTCAGACTGAGGCTCATGAGCCGCAAGTGGCTCTTTAATGTGTCTCCTGCAGCTCTTTGCGGCATGTGATATTAAATCACTGTGTGGTTTAATTATTAACCAGTCTAATGGCTTTTACTATGTAATTAACCAACTGTAGTTGATAAAATCATAATACTTGGTCAGAATAACCAAGAGAATAATAAATAGATATATAGGATAACCTCAGAGTTAAAAACATCTCCGGAATGAAGGTTGTTCGTAAGTCTGAAATGTACGTAACTCTGAACAAAACGTTATGGTCGTTCTTCCAAAGGTTTACAACTGAACATTGATTTAATACAGCTTTGATACTTTATGAAGAAAAAGCTGCTTTTAACCGTCTTAATTTAAATGAAACAAGCACAGAAATAGTTTCCTTTGTCAAATCATTTTTTTAAACTTTTTTTTTAATCGTTTACGTTCAGCACAGTACTGTAGTGTATTTTCGTTTCTTTTCTTTTGTCTCTGCTGCTTCCTGATTGCATACTTCTGGTTCCAAATGACATGTGTGGTTGGCCAGTCAGTTCATAACTCTGGTGTTCATAACTCTGAGGTTCTCCTGTGTGTATGTGTGTGTGTGTGTGTGTACACATACAGAGAGAGAGAGTAAAGGAAACAATGAATTCACACTACTGTGGCTCTTTTGGGTAATGTTGATTGCTAATTTGGCTCCTGAACCATTGAGGTCTGAGTATCAGTGCACTACACTCTCCCAGCAGCCAGCATAAAGGGTGAATCCAGGGGAGGGAGGCAATGGCCAGGGCACCCCTAGCGATTCCCTGCTGCCATAGTGGCCCTTTGGGGCTCTTGGCAGATAGAGCAGTCTGTAGGCTGCTCTGACCTCCTGGGTGGGACCAATCCCACAATCAAAGCAGCATAATTAAAGGACACCTTTGAATCCTCCTCCGCACCCACCATATGCACAGAATACATCTCAGCCTCAACTGAGGATCTAGCCCTTGATTCAAAGATATATTTTTATGAATCCCAGTTCACTCTGCAGGAAAGATTAAGCATTATCCAAAACAAGGGAAAATCCACCACAACTTGCCCTTCAATCCAGTAGCAGAACTTTCATAAGAGGTTCCCACGAGCCTCATCCAGCATCTCTCTGATTCACCAGATGTATCCACTTGCATTTTTTCAGGTGAATGTCATCTTGTTATTCCCTGACCCCCATGGCTAGAAACTCCTTTGTCTTACTTTTCTGCTCTCTCCAATGTCTGCACCGCCTCTCCATTTAAAGTCACTTGTGAATTTCATTAGCGGGCTGTTTCTCCTCTCTCCCACATCAGTAATAAAGATGCTAAATAAAACCAGGCCTAATGCTGATGCCTGCAGCATCCCCACTGCATACCTCCCGCACAACTGCTTCAAAAAAAGGGAGAGCAAAATGCCTGCCCCGACTCGCCATTTGGAAAGCTTTAGAAACAACTGTATCTCAATAGCATCCTTCTTTAAATTAAAACCAACCACCCTCCCACCCATCCCCCCCACAACAACAACAGCTGCACGCACAGTTGGAAGATTTGAAACTTAGAAGTCCAGGTGCCTGTTTAGCCAGAGAACAGGTAACAGGTACAACAGGTACAACACAGGTAACAGGCATGCAAGTTTCCCACGCTGCTCCACCTTACTTATTGCCTAGACAGACTCTGTAGCAAGAAGAGACTAATTCAGGTTTCCATGACCACTGAGTTCTTGGTCTCTTTTCCAAGGCAACCAGCAAGAGAACCATTTAGTGTAAATTTTGGTTGTGGTTTGCCATGTAGACACACACATGCGCATACACACACACACACGAACTGGACTGAGACCACCAAGCTTAATTTAACTAGGTCACAAAACAGATATCAGATGGTAACTCTGCCTTCTGTGCTGTAAAAGAGGTCCATTTTGCATGTAACTAAATGCAAACTGTGGTTAAACACTCTTTTCTTTTTCTTATTGCAGGTTGCAGGTTTAATCCTGAATCAGTACTAATTGCATCATCAAAGTCTTAATATTAGAAAGGCAGGAGGCGATTTGACAAAACGTTTTAGTTTTCAGAGTCCTTGGTGGCCATGCAGAAAATGTCAAGACCTCAAGACACTGTTTGAAAAGGGAACATAAATGATTGTAGTTCTTCTCAGTGCATCACTCTGCCCTCACCAAAAAAAAATAATAAAAAATTCAGGTTAATGGGTTGTTGGGTTTGGGTTCTTTTAATTTCAGTTCCCGAGAAAATATGCACCTCAAAGATAAAAATGCATCCGATACACAATAGGGATAGTTAAGTATCTGGAACAGAATGTGTGTAACACCATACAGGGTATTTCTCAGAGAAAATGGGTGGTACTATTGCACATGAAGTATTCAAAGGCAGGCTGCTTACTTCTCTGCAATTAATCCAGGCTTGCTTAAGAGCAACAGAGCTTAAGAGCTCTGGCAACCTCTCAGGCCTGATTCCAGTTGGTAGGTGTAGGGAAAAAAGAGTATGTGGAAGAAAGTGCAGCAAGTAAATATCTTCTGAACAAGTGAATTCAGGCCGGATTTTAATCTCGGATACATGCCAAACTGGGCCAGACATCTAAAATTAGTCCAGAATCTATAACCCTGTACAGATCCAGGCACATATTATTCATTAAGGGTCAAATTCTGGTTGGCTCTTCCAAGTATGCATGCATGGGAGGAGAGGTAGGCAAGCAGGGCACAGCTGTGGTACCCAGCTCTCCACTGCCTCATAACCCATGGAGTATACATGCTGCAGGTCAGTCATGGTTAGAGCTATGGAGGGGACCGTTCCAGGATGCTGTGGCCAGCCTTGTTTTAGTCTAAGAGTCCTAGATTTTTAAATGTTGCAGGTCACTCAGCCTCCACCACAAGGAACACATTCTATCACTGGTTAAAAGCCTATACCTCATCCCTTCCAACAATGGCCTGGGCTTCCATCACACACGCCTTCATTTCCTCTACTATTGCAATGCACTATACCTGGGCATCAGCCTTGAAAAAGCAGCCATTGGTGAAGAATGTGGCAGCTGAACAGGGGCTGCTGAGAACACACATCACAAATATTTGCCTCACTCCAGTGTCTCCCTCCCCAACAACAGCTCTAGTTTAGGATCTCTGAGTGTATTTGCAAAGCTCTTCATGGACTGGACCCAAGCACCAGAGAGATCACCTCGCCCTTCAGAACCTGTGTCTGCCTGGACAACTCTGCTCCTCAGGAACAATGGAACTGCCTGCCTCAAAGGTGCACGGAATACAGGGCTTTCTCAACATCTGGCCCAAGACTGTGGAATTCGCTCCCATCGACACTTCCAGGTCCCCATGAAAAACGCCCTCACCACTCTTGCTTTCCCATATGGCCACACATTAGTATTTGCACGCACAGAGGTGTGAAGAGGGAGATAATTACATAGCTATTTCCCAAGGGGGTGGGGAGTTCAGATGGGTTGGACCGGAAATTGCACTTTAATGTATCTCTGTAGACTTTAAAAAACCAGAAGGGGCCATTATGATCACCTAATCACACCTCCTGCATATCACAGCCTATATAACGGGGGTGGCCAAACCACGACTCTTTTCCTGTTAAAGTATGGCTTGAGAAGCCTCACACGCCCTCCCCTTTTCTTCACCTACCAGACGGGGGGAGAGCTCGCGGCTTCTGCCCTGCAGCAGGGTGCTGTGGGTAGAGGCTTCTGACCAGCAGGGATGGGGGTCTCGGGGCTTCAGCACCACAGGATGTGCCTGCCAGGGCTCAGGGCTTCAGCAGGAGCGTGGCTGAAGCCCCAAGCCCCAGCAGCACATCCCATGCAGCTGAAGCCCCCAAGCCCCGGCAGGCATGCCCTGTCTCTCAAACTTCTGAAGATTGTCATATGCAGCTCCGAGGGTCAGTGAGTTTCGCCACTCTTGCCAAACAATTTCTTCCAGTGCTTTCTCCACGTAACCCAAGAACTTGTCGTTGTACTAGAACAACCCTTTTGGAAAGATGCCCAGTTTTGATTTAAAGACTCTGAGTGACAAAGAATTTAGCGCACCCCTTTGTTTCAGCCCATCAGGGAAAAGGCCAATGGCAGGGCAATACTGCCCTTGAGAAGAATAGCTAGCCCATTCAAGGCAAATTATGCATATTGGTTGACTGGGAAGATCTGAGACTAAACCCATCTGCCAAGGGCCTAATCTCTCTGTAGCGCCCCCTCAGGATGCATCAGGGTCATGTACTCATTCAGGCTCCAGTTGTCCAGGAAGAAACAGTTAGTGCCGCCTGCCCAAGGATGGAAACCCAGCCCTCTAGCCAAATTCCTCTGGAGTTTGCCCCTTCTGGGGTTCAGAGGAAACAAAACTTGGGAGGAAAAACCCAAAGAAACAACCAGTCCCAAATGAGTCACCTGCCTCTCTTACTTCAGGGGCCTTGGGTGAGCCACAGTCCAGTTCAGTATCCTAAAGTCAATCTCCAGAGAGGACCTTGTCACGGCTGTTTATAGTCTAGTCCACCCTGCTCTCAGGATGCTTGAACAATCCATATGCACAGGAGCAGGCTCTGCCCTTGGGCAGGTCTCTCCCGCGGGAGCTGGAGGACCTGGGATCTACTCTCCTCCCAGAGTTGACCTGCTACTGAGCTGAGCTTTTCCCTTTCGAACTCTTCTGCCAGGCCCGACACATCTTGTAGGTCTGGCATGGCCAGGGAGGCCCACTCAAGCCCATAGCAATTCCTTAACCC